TGTGCTTCTTCATTTGAAGCCGTGTTCTTACTAGCTTTGTCAGTACCATGAGTTGATCTACCAAGGTGAAGTTCTTTCATTCCTTTACCGAGCTACGGATCCAAGAGCTTCACGCGCTACTATTTTCTATAATAGCTATAACAAGGAACAAGCTAAAACGCTGACCTTTGAGACTGAACTTCGATGCCCTCGCCTGACCCCCCTTCTCTTCACGAATAAAGCAAGATCTCAGTCTCCACTCAGATTAGCGGCATTGCCGTTCTTATCTTAAGTTTAAGTAGAGGTTTTCTAAGATTGGGAACATAACTTATATGCTTCAGCCGAGGAAGCAGATATGCCACCAACGGGGCAGAAATATCTATTCTAGTATGTATGTATATTCTATAATATTGCTAAAGTCAAGAAGTTACCGTGCAGGGGCGGAATAGACAAATTAGCTTTTAAAAGGGCTTACCTCGCTCGATACCACACCTTTTTTTTCACTGTGTGAGTGCTTTCCCCTTTTTGATATCCTCTTTATCTGCTTTTATGGTCGATCTTTCTTGTCCCAACCATTCTTCTTAGTCTTAGTTCCGATCACAATAAGAAAGGAGAGAATTGATAACAAAGTTTTCATCTTGTTGATTCCTAGGCCTAGTGCTTCTTCCTCTATGCCGCCTATTGCTACTAGTGGGGTAGGGTTAACCTGCAATATGGAACCACATAGTCCCAGCCGTGCCTGAAAGAAAAAGAAGAAGATGGAAAGATGTCTTTCTCACAGCGTGGAAAATTACATCAACCTTGATTTCACTAAGGATGTCGGACCAAAGACATCAAATCTTGTGTTTTCCCCTTTGGACACTTCCACGATTTCCTTCTATAAGTTGGTTTCCAGCCGATCAAGAAACTATCTTTATTTAGATATTTAGAAAGCTGAATGAATATGGATAGATGCCCACATCAAGAACTTGCCATAGAGATTCTCCTCGCTAACCTAGCCTGATTCTAGAACTTCTCAACCCATGACCACTAATAAACCGAAGATAATCAGGTTTGAAGAAGTCAAGCCATTCTACCGACAGGAAAGGTTGGGGTATGCTCGACCGAAGGAAAATAAATGAGGTCTCGTGATTTGTCTCAGGCGGACAGACTGCCCGAGCTAAAGAAATAGTAGATTCTCCGAAAGACCTATTCTACATCCGGGACGAGAAGTACTAATGCCGAAGACTGCACAGACACATTAGGCTTCCTTTCTATTCTAGATTGGATAACTCAATCCCCCTTGTCCACTTCTTAGAATGATTTCCCTATCTAAGCCTTCAACTACCGTACTTGTGACTTTTTGAGTTTTCAGATAGACCCCTGTGATAGAGTGATATATTAGATTCGCACTAATGAGTCAGTAAGAATACAAGACCTCTTCCCCAACCCAACTCACGTAACTCAAGTCATCCTTTCTCTTCTCTTTATAGCATATCCCAATCCCATCGCTTTATCCCTGCCCTTTTCTTTCTACAGGAGAGGGTAGCCCCTCGGTAAAGGTTTTCTTACAAATGCTAATTAGGTTAGCTCCTTTTTAGGAATGGGAAACAACTCTTTTCCTTCTTCCAAGCTAGCCTTTTTACATGCATTATCTGCCACAAAGACTACTTCTTCCTTGCCCTAACCCCAGCACTTGACCTATCGGCTTTCACACTTTCTTTCTCATTGGCTAGCTTGACTTTGCGGTGAGGTACTTCTATTTGTCTTCCTGCCTTGGCAAAGACCCCTTCCTCCTGGCCTGATGACTTGAAAGCAGATTGAGGATTTGAAATAGATAGAAACGAGTTTAATCTAAGCAAGCGTAGTTTAGGAAGAAAGTAAGTAGAAGCTGGGGCTGAGAAGCCTAAGGCTGAGCCAATTAGAGTATGACATCAGGAAGCTTAGAGGCTATTCTAGATCTTGTCACAAGAATAGCTCAAGTTGAGTTAGTGGAGTTTGGTGTTATCATAAAGATAAAGAAGAAGATAGACCAAGTGCCAGCCTTAAGTTGAGCTGAAGGCTCAGGCCTTATTATTTATTTTGATTATTAAGAAAATAGAAAAGAAATTCTATATAATTAATAATAATATAATATAAGTCTAGCCTTTTCACGACTAAGTCGGAAAGAAGAAGAAAGGGGTGGCCCGGAAAGATACGATCCACGAATAGAAAGATTTCCACGTCCCAGGTAGCGCTCAGAAGGCTGTGAAGGAAAGCGTTTCAATTCTTTCGGAGTACTACTGCTCAGGGGAAAGGCGAAAGAATGCCCACGCATATTCGTAAATGAAAGGCGAAGAACAGATACGACTCAGTATCCGTAAATCGTAGAGACGACAGAGGGGGGAAAGCTGTCTTATTTAGCCTTTCATCGAGATTGGTGAATTACGGTCGAAGATCTAATAGAATCTGGCTCGAGGCTTTTCTATTTCAATATCTGTTGCTTTTTATCCCATATGGATAGCTTTTGATATACTCCGAGAGCTCTGAATGAGATAGATCAATCAAGCCTTGCCCCTTTGAACAACTTTCTAATTTGCCAGCTATAGAATAAAATAAAATAATAGAGAAAAGAATAAAGAATAATGGGATAGAGTGACTGGTCAATAGACAGAGACTATTTACCTAGCCTACTTCACTCTTAGACCTTAGCTTAGGACGTGAGGAAAGAAAAGAGCTCACTTTGAAAAAGCTAGATTAGCAACTGCTACTACAACTGGTTCGTACCTCACTGCATCTAAACTTGATCCCATTGCCTGCTTCCTTTCCTTCCTCTCCTTTTAGTCGCTCATCAAACTCGCACCTTCTATGGTATTTGACACCGTTATTCATTCCCTACAAACAAGCATTCTATTCCGAAAGTGCCACCATAGTGGATTCTAGAAAAAAAAGAGGCGATTCAGACCGACAGGCTACAACAGCACTTCTTTTGGCTGCACTCAAGGAACATCTCATCTAAGAAGAAATAGGAAGCGAATCTGCTCTTCCATATGCTAGATGTAGGCATTTCTCCTCTTAGCATACGAACTTCACTGCCTTAATTCCTTAATCCCCTTCTTTCTTTCACTGTAAAGGAGAATGAATCGAGAGTTTCGTCTTTTCTTTCAACACTTTCAGATTTAGTAGTTTAGTCTAATTCCTCTTGAGTTTCGTCTTTCTTTTCAACACACACTTTCAGGTTCAGTAGCTCATTCATTTCTCCATTCATTGATTCTTGAACTGTAAACTCTCATTAATCTTGAGTTGAGTCTTGACTTGTGAAAGAAGGTTCAGGTTCAGGAGCCTCCAGTTTCCCTTCCTTGTTTACTGTGAAAGAATAAATGGGTTCCGATGAAGGAGCTTGACCTTCTTCTCATCCAGCCAATGTGAAAGAGTGAAAGAAAGGATAATGCATCTTGTTGAGTTGAGTCTTTCATTTACTGTGAAGGGAGAGGAAATGAATTAACGGCTTTCCCCAGTCTTTTCAAGTTCAGGTTCGGGAGTTACCGAGTTTACTGTGAAAGAAGGTGAAGAAGTAGAAGTAATAAATAGTCCATGAGTTTACTGTGAAAGAATAACAAACTCGAACAGAAGGGACAGGTTCAGGAGCGATCTACAGAAAGAAAGAAGGGAATGAGACCAATAGAATAAGTTTAGGAGAAAAGAGACCTACAGAAGGGAATGAGACCCATAGAATAGGTTCAGGAGCTTGACCTTCTTCTCATCCAGCCTATGTAAGTAAAAGAGTGAAATGAACGAATAAATAGGGAATATCGTCTTTGGTGAAGGAGAATGAATCTTGAGTAGAGTCTTTCCTTTCAACACTTTCTTGAAGGTTCAGTAGTTCACTCTCATTCATCTTTCTTCTTTACAGTTTCATTCTTCTTTCATTTTTTCTTCTTTCCTTCCTCTTCAGTCTCATTCTTGTTTCTTACAGTTCAATCTGGTAAAGGAGAATGAGCTTCTCTTTCTTGACTTACTCTTCTGTCTCATGAATAAAAGGAGTGAAAGCAAGCCAGCCAGTTCTAGTTCTGTCTCATTCTTCTTTCGTTTCGTCTTGACTTTCTTACAGGAGAGTACTAGAGTGTTTGAAAGGATCAGAGAAAGAATAGTGAAACCCGAGTTCAAGAGTGAAAGAAGGAAGGGAATAAAACAAAGCTAGAACTAAGACCGAAGGAGAGAAGCCGAGGTGATTGAGTGAAGGAGGAGTTCAGTTCGTAAACTCTAACTCTAGTTCATCTTTCCTTTCTCTTTTTTCTTTTACCTTGTTCAATCTGGTGAAGGAAAGAATAGATGAGAGACCGGCGTCATATCATATGTCCTGTTCAAGAGAGAAGCCGAGGTTCAGGATCAAGATCAGTGAAAGAATAAAGAGGAGTGAAAACGAGGTTCAGGTTTTCGGTTGAGTCTTGACTTTCTTTTTCTTCTTCAATCCATTCATTTTATAAAGGTGAAGCATTGAATGAATTTACGAGACTGTAAAGTGAAGGTGAAGGAGAGAAGCTAATAGTTTACGAGGTGAGAAAGAAGAAAGAAATAGGTGTTCCGGAGCTTGACCTTTCATCCAGCCTATCCATTTCCCTTGTGAAAGAAATCAGTCTCATTCATCTTGAGTATTCATCTTTGACAGTTCAGGGAGACACAATTCAATCCTCAGCCTATTTACCCAGTGTTTGAGTTCAATCTGTCGAATTAATAAGGAGTCTTTGTTTACTCTTCGTTCAAGGGAGAGGTTCGGGAGTGAAGGAGTTTACTTTACCTCGTGCATGAAAGAAAGGTTCTGGTTAAGGAGCCAAGACGAAGACGGAGTGAAAGAAGGAAAAGGTTTAAGCTTGAGGAGCGAAGCAACTTTACTGTTCAATCCGGTTAAGGTTCAGGAGAAAGAGAAGAAAAAGAATAAATAGGTGAAGCAGGGAAGGTAATATCGGTTCAGCGGAATGAGTAAGTAGGGAGAGGAGTTTACCTCGTGAAAGAAGGTTCAGGATCATTCATCCTTCTTACAGGAGAGAAAGAAAGAAGAGGAGAATGAGACCCATAAGTGAAGGAGGTAAGAGAGTGAGACAAGGGGGTTTCTTATCTTAGGTTACAGTGAAGGAGAAGATCAAGAAAAGAATGAAAAGAGATCGTAAAGTGTAAAGTCCAGTGTTTGAAGGGAGAGGAGCGCAGACGAAGACATAGTGTTTGAAGGTGATTGAGCAAAGAGAAGAGACCTCGTTCAAGAATCAATAGATGATTGAGCTTTACCTTGTGAAAGAATAGTATAGTTCAGGAAGGCGCGAAGTAGAGGTTCAGGTTTCTTCTTCTTTTCTTACTGTTCCTGGTTCAATAGTTCAGGTTCAGGTTCCGGAGCAAAGCAACTTTACAGTGAAAGAAGGTGAATGAGTGAATAGGAAGAGAATACAGAATAAGGAGAAAGAGAAGAAATAGGTTCAGGTCAGGTAATAAGGGTTCAGTAGTTTACAGTCTTTGAAGGTGACGGAGCGAAGGAAGCCACTACTTTAACAGTTCCATCTATCTGGTGAAGTAAAGCAAAGAGAAAGAGTTCAATCAATCAAACACCTATTCTATATTCTATTTACCGAGTGAAAGAAGTCCAATTCATCCCCCTGATTAATTAACTCGACTGCAAAGAAAGGTTTAGTAGTTCAGGAGAAAGAGAAGAGAAAGAAAGGATTTTCTCTCTAAAAATAGGGAGAAGATAAGATTGATTTCTTTATGGTCTTTACACTAGAAGGAGAATGAGAAAGAATCTTGAGGATTGACTTCTGAATTACCTTGTGTTTGAAAGAAAGAATAGTAGGGGACAACAAGTGATTGAGTTCCGTTCGTAAACTCTCTTTCGGCCTTGGTTACTATGTTTGAATAACTTACCTTAACAATAACAGCAGGTAATTTAATAGAGGTTCATGAGTTCGGTTTCTTCTTCCTTTGTTTATTAGCAACAGAATGAATAGGTTAATATTAGTCAGGAGTTTACCAAGTTGTAGAGAAAAAAGAGAATAGGTCTTTCATTTGAGAATTAATAGAAAGAAAAAGAATTGAATATGAATCAGGGGCAGGTTCGTCACTTTACCTTGTTCTCAATCCGTCTCATCCTTACTTTAGTCTGTCTCCTCCTTTATTCAAAGACTGTAAACAAAGAAAGATAGTCGGGCAAGGAATGAATCTTCACCTTATTCTTTATCATACAGCCAGACAGCCAATTTACTTAGTTCAAGAGTTCAATACGGGACAAGTTAGTGAGTTAAGGAGTTGCCCGAGTCTTTGGTTAAAGAATCCTATCAATAGGAAAAAGAAAAGAGAACACGAGTCAAAGAGTTAAATCAAGTTATGGGGGAGAAAGAATATATATATATGTTTTACCTTCCTTACCTTGTGAAAGAATAACTCACAACACAATCACTTCCTTCTAACTAACTAACTAAGAAAGAATAACAAGAATTAAGGGGATAGAAAGATCAATTAAAGACAATCAGGGAAAGAACAGAGAAGATACCGTAAAGAAGTATTGGCATTGGTTCAGGGGCAGGAGCAAAGATCAGTAAAAGAATAAATAGGGAAAGGAGTGAAACAGCTGGACCGGTAGGGAGAGGAGTGAAGGATCAATCAATAGGTTATGGCGAAGTGTGAAGGAGAATGCTTGTTTCGGCTTTTTCTTAGTGCTTGCTTTACCTTGTGTTTGAAAGAATAAAGAGGTGTAGGAGTTCGTTCAGGATTAGAGAAAGAAGCTGAGGTTGTTCTAGTTTCGGCAGAGAAAGAAAAGAAATAGTTCAACCCCCAGTAAGTAAAGGAAGCAAACAAACTGACAGAGCTTTACCTCCTTCTTTAATAAATAGGTAAGGAATTAAGGTAAGGAGAATGAATCTATCTTTCGTTGAGTTTCATTAATCTTCTCTTGCTTTCTCTTCCTTTACTTTGAATAACAAGGTTCAGTAGCTAGCTTTCTCTTTAGTCTTGACTTGTTTACGAGGAGGTGGAATAAATGGGTTCCGGGTTGAGGTTCAGTCGCTTCTCTTTTCTTGACTCTTCAGTAAAGACAAATATTCTTCTTCTTTCTCTTGAGTCTTTCAAAGCTAAAGCTGCTAACTCCTTGATTCTAGAACGAACATCGTAAACTCTCATTCATCGATAGTCTTTCCTCTACTGCTAATTAATATCCCCCTTGATAGGTTCAATCGGGTTCAGGTTCGGCTTCTTCTAGCTTTACCTACTTTAATCTGGTCAGGGAATAGAATAATCAAAATAAATATAATGGCTAAGGGTTAGTGAAGGTTGAGTCTTTCTTCTTAGTTTACTTACTGTGTAAATAGGGGAATCGTCCTGTTTACCTCGTTCAATCCATTAATCTTTCTTCAGTCTTTCTTTGTTGTTCAATATACTATCAGGTAATAAAGAAATAGAATAGAAAGAGTATTTAAGGTTATTACGACAAGTATTAAAGTTATTACGGCAAGCAGAGTATTAAAGTTATTACGGCAAGCAATGGAATAAAGCTTTTTTCGGATTTCATTAAGTAGTAGCGAAGGTAATTCAGGTGAGGGAGTTCAACCCTTGTTGTAGAGGGGCGTGCAGGAGCAGATCAAGAATAAGTAGGTAGTCTTTCTTTACTTACCTTTTCAATTAGGTTTGAGAGAGAGTAAGTAGCTCGACTGGAAAGAAAGATTAATCAGACTTTCCCTTTAGTGTCTCTACTGTAAAGGAATAAGAATAAGCAAAAGATAGATTACGGAGTGAACTAACCAAGGAGAAAGCAGAGGAGCAAAGACACACACTTCTAGTTGTTCCAGGTCAAGTTCAGTAGTTCAGTCGAATGAATAGGAGTTAGTAGTGAGAGGAGAAAGAGAAGTGAAAGAAAGATAAAGGGAAGGTAAGGTACAGTTACGGAGCTAGCTAAGCCACTTTAAAGAATAGGAACAAACAAGAGAAGGAATCTTTAGTCTCCCTCTTCAAACCTTAAAGAATAGGAACAGGAGAATTCATCCTTAGTCTTTCCTCTCCCTGAAATCAAACAAAGAGAGTAAAGGTTCAGTTTAGCTTCATTCATTCATTCATTTACTTACCCCAAGTAACATCAACAAGTAATATCGGGCTCAGTAGCGAAAAGGTGACACTTTCTTCTTTACAAAGACAGTAAACTCTCTTTAGTCTTGACTTTCAGTATCAGTAGTTTACCTACTTCCCGTCGTAACCTAATCAGTAGTTTAGTTTACCTATTTCCCGTCGTAACCTATTCTTTCTATACTAATTACCTAGCGAGCAAAGGAGTTCTATTCCGTATTACCTAGCGAGTAAAGGAGAATGGAATTAATGGTTCGTCCACCTGCCCTTGCCCTCTTTCTTCTTCTCTTGCTTTACGGAATGAATAAGTAGTTGGTTCTTTCTTTCTTTCATCTCCCTATTATACTAGCTAGAACTTCAGAGATAATGCATCTTGTCTTGTGTCTTTACTACTTGTTCAATTAGGGAAAGGAATAGGGTTTACAGATAAAGAGTGAAATCAGTTCATCTTTCTTTAATCTACCTTCTTGACTTTTAGTCTCTACTGTAAAGAAAGCATAGGGGAAAAGGATTGAATATGCAAGTAGTTAAGGAGACTGGAAGAAAGGATAGCTGCTTCTAACCCGCTTTCCTCTTTCAAAGACAGTAAACTCTTGATAGTCTTTACTTGTTGGTCAATATACTCTCATCAGGTAATACCAACCAACAGAGAATAGACATAGGGTTATTACGGCAAGCAATAGAATAAAGCTTTCATTCACAGATTGAATGAGAAGTAGCTTAGGTAATTCAAGGTGAGGGAGTTACATCCGGTTGTTCAGTAGTTAAGTAAGGATCAAGAATAAGTAGTCGTGACTTACCTTTTCAATTCGGATTAATCTTTCTCCCCTGTAAAGGAATAAAAAGAAGACAAAGGATAGGTTATACAAAGTGAAGTAACTAACTAAGGAGAATGCAGAGAAGCGAAGACACTAGTTCTAGAGGTTGTTCCGTACGGGCCAGGTTCAGAAGAAGTAGTTAAAAGGAGAAAGCAGAAATAGGAGTTTAGTCTTTACTTGTTTACGAGGAGGTGGAATAAATGGGTTACAGGTTTCGGTTCAGTCTTGAAAAGCTAAGCTGCTAATCTAACTAATTAATTTAATATCCCTTCTAAACTAACCCTGCAAAGGATAGGTTCAGGCTTTCTTTCCTCTCCCTATTATACTTATAGAACAACTGTAAGAAGGGATAATGCATCGGAAAGGTGCGAAGCCACAAGACCGAGTTTACCTCCTAAAATAAGAAATAAATAGGGGCAAGAACGGAGTTCACTCTCATGTCTTGACTGAATTTCCGGAGTAAGTAGCTCGACTGATAGGTGAATGAGCGAAGCGACCTTGTTTACTGTTCAAGCTGTTCAATCAGGGAAAATAGGCAAAAATGGACCTTTTTACCGGGGTTTATTCAATTAATAAGAAATGGTCTTTACACGAGTTCAATTAGAATCGGCCTACCCTCTTGACTCTACTGTTCCGAAGCTTTACCTGATTCTCATAACAAAGAATAACGGAATTGACCTTGTTAAAGAATTCAGTCTCATTCATGTTCCATTTCCTTCTTTCATTCATTTACTCTTTCAAAGACTGTAAAGGGAATACAGGGGCCGGAAGTAGCTCAGGGCATAAAATGGCAGGGATTTACTGTTCAAGCTGTTCAATCTGGTTTAGGAGAAAGGGAAGAGCTAAGATTCCGAGTTTACCTCCTTCAATCAGTCTCATCCATCTTTCTTACGGGAGAGGAAAGAAATTCATTAGTTTACCTCGTCTTTCTTTGAATAAATAAATAGGAATAGGTTATTGAGTTCTTTCTCATTAATAGAATAGGAGTAAGTAGCTCGATCGATAGGTGAATGAGCGAAGCGACCATCCTTTCATTTGTTTACGAGGTTACGGGAAAGGAGCTTCTCTTCCTGTTACGATTCCGGAGAAAGAAGAAATAGGGTCCGGAGCTTGACCTTCTTCTTGACTGACTGTTCCGGAGAAAGACTAACTACTTACTATG